GTCCATCCCTGGCTGAACACTTCTGTCTTGACCTACCACTCCCTCTCCTCCTTCCTGTGAAAACCTTCAGGGGCAGCGCTGGTCCCCTCTCTTCACTATAACCTCTTTGCCCAGTTCAGGGAGGTGTATGATCAGGAGGCTTTGATACCAGAAAGGCTTGTCCACACAAATGACTCCATGTCTCTGGTTTGCATTTCCCTGTTGGCTAAGGATGTTGACATCTTTTAATGTCCGAATTGGTTATTTCTGTATTGTCCTTGAATAAATGTTTATTCAAACTCTTCATCCACTTTAAAATTTAGCTGTTTGTCCTTTTGTTGCTTAGCTGTGTTTTTTGTGTATTCAGAATCTAAGTCCCTTACCAGATATATGATTTGCAAATATTTTCTCCCATTTTGTGGGTGTTTTTCAGTTTCTTGACAATACTCTTTGAAGCAAAAAAACTTTCTAATTTGTGAGAAGTCCAATTTATTTATTTTATTCTCCATTTCCCCGCTTTTGTATGTGCCAAACCATTGCCTAATCAAGGTTATGAATATTTATGCCTATGCTTTCTCCTAAGGATTTATGGTTTTAGCACTTACATTTAGGTTGATGGTTCCTTTTGAGTTAGAATTTGTCTATGGTGTGAGGAAGGACCCAGTTTCCTGCCTTTGCATGTGGGCATCCAGTAGTTTTGGCATTGTTGGCTAACTAGATAATTCAGTGTCCCTGTGCCTCAGTGGCTTCATCTCTACAGTGAGCTTTAAAGGAACAACTTACAAGATGCTGAGAGACTTTAATGACATACTGAGAGAAAAATGCCCTGTGGGAAAAATGCCCTGTGGGATTCCTGGCAAGTAGCAGACAGTCAGTGCCTGACACAGGGAATGGACAGTGGATCTGAAGGTCTCTGAAACACTGCTCATTATTACCCTATCTGACCAGGGCTCCTCCAGCCCTGAAGGTCTCCAGGTCCATGGCCCCACTGGCTTGTCATAGGCCCTTGCCATCCTCAAGGTTCTGGTTTGCAACCCCTTTCTCAGGAACCTCCTCCGGAGTGGTCCTGGTCATTTATTTATCTTCCCTCCTCCACTATTTTCTTCTTTTTTCCCCCCACAATTTTTTTTTTTAAATAGTGTATTATAGTTGTGCATGATGGTGGAATTTGCTGCTATACATTTGGACATGCGCACAACTCAGCAATATCATTTGTCCAGTACCATCCCCCAGTGTTTTCCCTCTTCCTCTCTTCCTCCCTCTCTCTGGTCCCTTTCCTCCATTCTACTGATCTCTTTTCAATTTTCATGTTTTCTTTCTTATTTTCTACCTTAATTTTTAGCACTTAATGCTTTTGGTCTTCGTCAATTCATTAATTGATTGATTTTAAATTGTTAATCCACTAAGATCCTTTTTGGCAAGCCGGTCAGAAGGCATGAATGAATAAATGAGTCCATTGATTAAAAGGTCTGGAATGTAAAGATTGGAAAGTGAAGCCCCTAGAGTGAGCGGGATTCCTATAGGTCACCATGCGTCCTGGAATTGGAGGTGGACCTGTGTGAAGCTGACTTCAGGCTGTTTACATGCCTTTTTCTCTCTCCTACTCTGGAGAGATCCTTCTAAATCATGCCTCCCTCCTGCATGTTGTTTGTAACACCTCCCAATTTAGTTTTCTGTCTGAATTTCATTAGTGTCCCATTTACCTCCTCATCCTGATCTCCAAGGCAGGCGTTAAGCTGGAGGAGGCTGAGCTGGCAACAAGGGTTCTGCCACCTGACTGCAGGTGAAGAGGACATGCAGAGGAGGAGGGAAGGGTCCCCTGACTGCAATTCTGGATGAAGTTCTGGTCCACTCAGTATAGGCCAATGAACTGTAACTGGGTCCTCACTGTGTGGCAGGAACTGGGGGCTCAAAGACAAGGAGCTATACTTGACTTTGAAACTCCCTGGACTTGTGGGATGCATGGATGGATTATTCTGTGCAGTGTGCCACAGGCAGCCTCGTGGGCAGGCAGAGGGCGTTCTGGGGGAGAAGGCCCTCTGGGACATCCTGGGAAAGGGGCACAGCACAGGTAGCAGCAGGATGGTTGGAGCAATAGCTTGGAAGCAAGTAACAATGAAATGTGTTGTTCAATTATTTGTTCATTCACTCACTCAGTCTGAGGGTCACCATGGGCCAGGCCTAAGAACACTGCAGAGCATGGCATAAAGTAGGTCCATGCCCTCATGGAACCTATGTTCTAATGGGAGAAGTCAGAAAATAGACAGTGCAACTTATCCAGTAACTCATTAACACATCAGATAGACATAAATGCTGCATTAAAAAGTTCAAACAGAAGAGGGTCTCAGGAAGACCTGGGCTGGGAGGACTGTTCCTTGCACTGGCTGGTTGGGAAGACCCTGCCCTCATCTCTACCACCCTTCTCCACCACTCTGGACCCTGCAGCTTCTGGATCAGTGAATATTCAGGAGCTTGGGCCTTTTAGCCCAGCCACACTCTGCTCACTTGTTGATGACGTCCCGTCTCTTCACTGCTATTCCCTCTGTCAGAAGAATTTTCCCCAAGACTGGAAAAAGGTATCTGTGCTTTCTTCTCTGAGGCAGGAGAGTTTTTATTGTTCACAGAACAGCAAAGAGGTCACAGTGCTAAAGCGTGAGAGCTGGGTGGGAAAGGAAGCCAGGCAGGGTCATGTAAGTATGGAAGAGAGAGGAAGACATTGGCTCTTCCTCCGTGTAAGATGGGAAGTCACAGGAGGGTTCTGAGCAGGGGAGTGATGTGACTTGAGTGATGCTGTACCAGTCGCCTATGTGCAAGATGCAGTGGGAAGGGGAAGCAGAGCCCAATGACCATGCTACCACAACAGTCCAGGCTGAGACTGCGACTGGGACTGGTGAGGGGACAGAGCAGGTGATCACAGAAAAGAATAGAGGGCAGAGTGCCCGGTCAGTGTATATATAGTACCCTATGCAAAGGATGGGCTGGTGGGAAGTGAGGCTGAGAGAAGAGGGAGAACCTTCCAAGGAGACGAACCTGCTGATGTCAAGGCTCAGATGCAGTCCCATCCTGCCAGACTCAGATCCTGTACTTAACACATTTACACAATGTCCTCTCTGCTTGCTTGAGATAAGCCTCGCTGGCTGAGCTCTGTGGGCAGCACCAGCATGGGGATATGAGCAAGCCAGTCTGGGGCTCCAGGAGCTCCCTCTGCCAGAGCTGATGGCTGCATCTCCATAGCTATGACACATGCAGGGCACTGGGGAACCAGGCAGAGAAGGCCCAAGACAGAGAGGGACAAGTGGAGACCACATTTCTTGGTTTAGATGGGGTGGGGACTAGATTCAGTGACCTTCTCAGTATCACTTTTGCGACATCATTGCACAGAGCTTGAATGGGGCAAAAAAGGTGACTTTTAGCTCTTTCCTTGCTGAGCAATACTCAGTTTTCTTATCTTAAAAACGGGGCTGTAAGAACCACCCTCATGGGGTTGTGGGAGGTGAGATGCGTACACCAAGTACTTGGCCAATGCTTCAATAAACGTCCCTTTTTACAAGCTAAAACCCCCAGAGGATCTGTGGTGGCATCACCCATCTGCATGGCAGGGCATCCACTTCAGTTTGCAATTACACACCTTTCAGGCAGAGAGTAGAGACTCCCTTTGTTTCTGTTCTTTGCAGGCCTATGGTAACTATTGCATCTGGCTTTGGTGAATAACTAAATATGTAGTTGAAGCAGAGGTTATGGAAGGTCCAAGCCTTGGCATACTTTAATTGGGAGACCTTGGTCAGGAGAGTTAATGTCTCCGAGCCTCTCCTGAACTGCAAAAGGGAAAGAATAAAATCTACTCAGGCAGAGACAGTTAGGGCTCATCAAATATCCATGTCTTTTCCACATTCCTGGGAACCGTAGAAATCAGGCAGTGTCTGTGGAAATTGGTTGTGGCCAGTGGGCTGTGTCACTTCTGGACTGAAGCAGTTAACAGCCAACACCTCCAGCTATTTCCTCCCCTTCTATGGAGACCAAGGTAGCCACATGTTCCAGGCAGCACAACAACAACAGAGAAGAGATTTCATAATCCTGGGCTCTGAGATGGTAGCAGAGCAGAGCTCTCCACCCATCTGGGTTAGACATGTAGCATGAGTAAGAAATATAACTTTGCAGTGTTAAGCCACTGGGATTCTAGAGTTAATTTATTACTGCAGCATAACACAGCCTAACAAGACTCATACTTCACCTTGCAAGACTGTTCAGAGGATAAGAAACAGGGCTTGGTCCAAGTATGTTCGTAGTAGGTCTCCAATAACCGACACACTCCCTCTGCCCTCGCTCCTTCCTTGCTTCCTCAGCCTCCCTCATGGTGATCAGCCTGTATTTATGATTCTACCCTTCTCTGGGGTAGAGTGGGTTTCTCTCTAGCTTGAAAGATCATGCCACTCTCCCTGTACAACCCAGGAGTCACCTCCTGCTTTTTATCATTGCTATTCTGCACCAAAATATGAAGAAAAGCTTTCAGAGAGCCCTCCTTGCCCCTGGAGCATCTGCCTTCTGACAGCTCTCCACTCCCTTCACTCTACTCTATTCTCAACTCTGCCTTTGATCTCACTAGCAACTCCAGGCTCTACAGTTTGGTCTCCTGGACCCTAGAATAAGCCTGATGGCCACCCCTCCTCTGTGTTCTTGGGCAGATCTGCATGTTGCCTCCTGGATGACTACACCCCCTTTCCACTCCCTTAAATCCCCCTTCCACCCCCTCCACATCCTGGTCTCCTGACACCTGCCCACCATGGCCTCCCACCATGCTGGTCGCCAGCTTGGTTTCTAGCAGCCTTTGCCCCACACCAATCCTCTTCTTGCATCTGCTCCCTGAGAGGTTCACTCGCCTGAGCTCCTTCACTTCCTAGGCTGCCTAGTGGCAAAAGCCTCCAACCAAAAAGTTTGCATGCTTCAGATTCCAAGATATATTTCTCATGAAGGCCACAGTTTGTAGTTGACAACAGAAAGTCAGAGCTAATGAGAGGACTGACCTGGCTCCATGTCAGCACGTTTGGAAGAGTTAATAGTATCCGTGGGCCCTGCAGCCCTCTCTCCAAGGCCATTGGATCCTGGAGGACAAGGTGGAATCCTTTCTGTTGAAGCAGAAAACAGAGATCAGACTGAAGTGAGGTGGCAAGATGCCTCACACCATGTCTCACAGACTGCTCCCCAGCAGTCATTGCAAATGCACACCAGTGGGGAAATGGAACTGCCCACCCCACACCATTTAGATTAGAAGTGAGTGGGATTCTAAGCCCCACAGACATACTCTACTCTGCTTTCTGGAAGGCTCAGGGGCATCTTCTTTTCTTCTCTATTTCTTTTGTGTTATAGGAGCCATGGTCTTGCATTACATTTTGTTTTTGTTTTTGTTTTTGTTTTTTGGCTACAAGGGATTGAACTCAGGGGCACTCAAGCAGTGAGCCACATCTCCAGTCTATTTTGTATTTTATTTAGAGACAGGGTCTCACTGAGTTGCTTAGTGCCTCACTTTTGCTGAGGCTTGCTCATGACCCTCCTGCCTCAGCCTCCGAGACGCTGGAGTTACATGCATGTGCCACTGTGCCCACCTCTTAGAGTCATTTTTGATGTACATGTTTTCTCAGGTGGACCTATCACTACCAGGACAGGGGCTGCAGATCAGCCCTCTTTGCAACCCAGGCATACAGCACAGGGCTTGGAGCAGAGTAGAGACTGAGTATTTGATGAACAAAGGACTGTGTGCCTTGAAGGAGGTATGGAGCTCAGGGCCAACGCCCTCATACAATAAAGGTTTGTCAAATCAATATAAAAGATCTTATCCCTTTCAAAAGAAGGGTAAAGAAAAGCTTAAGGGGTTTAAGTCATTTGTCTCAGGTCATTGTAAGAGGATGAACAGGGATTTGAACACAGGGACTCAAGGAGTTGTAGTCTATGAACTTTTCTCTGTACTATACCATCATCAACACACAAATACTACAGAATGCCTTTTTGTATGAAAGCCCCACAGCCTTGGTGTTTTTTAAAAAGTCAGTATTTGAGAAACTCCCTGAATATATGTTTGCCAAATATACATAGGAAACTATCTAAGAAGTCATTATTGTCTCTTTTAAGGTGAGGAATGACTAGTAATTCCCATTAAAAGCAAAATTCTCCTAAGTGTGAAATTTTGCCAGCTTTACCCATATTTCATATGTTTCTTCACAGCAAACTCTAATTATTCTACACAAAGAATAACTCTATTAGGCAAGAACCATTGCCAAGGTCTGTCCACGTGCAGGGTTATCCATTCCCCACCCTCAGGGATCAGGCTCCTGAGCAGCCAGGGCAGATGACCTCATGGGCTGCGGTACAATCATGAGACCCTCACCTCTTTTTCTTTTATCTATTTCTTTTTCAGTCCTCCTCAAATTTCCTCTTTTTCAAAGTACCTTCCATAAGCATCATGGTGACTATTAAGAATACCAAAATACTCACAGGTTGCTGAAAAGGTTTTAGAAGTATGTATACACTAGAACTCTGTTCAGAGGAAATTCAGTCAGGAAGGGATCCGGACATTCATTCACTCACTCATTCATTCATTCATTCCTATGCTGAGTTTTAGGGGCTCTGCAGGAGACACTGATGACTCAGAAGCAAATCCTGTCTTCAAGAAGCTTGCAGGCTGGCAAGGAGAACAAGGCACGGCCACAAAGAACTCTATTGCTTGTAGTTTCATGAGAGATAAAGGTGAGGCCTAGAGAGAGGATGGGGCATGGACAGACACCTGCACCAGAGATGGTGTTAGGTTTGGGGACAGGGCAAGGACTCCACATGATGGAGTAAAGGCACAGGAGGAGAAACCCTGACAAAGAAGGAGGGTGTTTTTATTCTGGAGTCTGTGGATTATGTAGAGGTAAGTGGAGGACGTCACACTCGACAGGATGAGAGCCCTGAATGCCAAGTCAGAGAATGGTCATTATTTAGTAATAGGGAGCCATCAAGGGTTGTTGAGCAAAGATGTGCCATAATTGGCGATCTGAACTAGTTAGCAGAATCTGGCTAGCCTTGCACAGTAGGAACTGGAAAGGACACACCTGGAGCAGCATTTTAGTCAGCGTTTTCATTGCTGTGACAACTAGAAAGAAGGTTAAATTTATTTGAGGGCTTCAGATATCCTAGTCCATAGAAGGCTGGCTCCATTTCTCGGGACTTGAGATGAAGCTTAACTTCATGGCCGAGTGTGTGGCAGAGGGAAGCAGCTCACATCATGAGGATCAAGAAGCAGAGAGAGGGTCTATCACTCTCCAGATTCAAAATATATACCCCGTAGCCACGCTCCCAATGAACCACTTTCTCCAGTCAAACCTACCTGCCTTCAGTTACCACCCAATTAATCCCATCAGGGATTAATTCACTGATTAGGTTAAGGCTCTCCCAACCTAATAATTTCTCCTTTGAACCTTCTTGCATTGAGCTTTTGGGGGACACTATAGCTAAATCATAACAAACAGGAACTTCATGATTGTACGGTGCTGGTATTGGCAGGCTGTTAGGTGCTTTGATCTCATTTAAACTTCTGAACAATTGCAGGAAGCACATATTATCCTTTCTGACTTGCTGATGAGGAAAGGAGGCTTTGGTGCATCTAAGCTGCTTGTCCCTAATCCCCCAGCTGGGAAGCAGCTGAGATGAGACTTGAGCCATGTTCTTTTCCTTTCCAGGTGAGCCATAAAGCATGCTGTGACCCTGCAAATGACACCTGCCTGCCTGCCACACTTGTCCTGCTCCCAGAGCACTTTCTGCCTGCCTTGGAGTGTGTAGAGCTTGATCTTTTCCTGGACTGCCCTTAGGGACAGCCCAGGCGGAATTAAGCATAGAACCCTTTGCTTCTGTTAGCTTCCCCCAAAGTGTCTCCAGATCAAGGAGATAAAATTGTCCTTGGAGTTGGATCTCAAACAACACTTCAATTTCTTGCAGAGAATTTCCAAGGAGGCAGACAACCACCCATGTCCCTAGCAAGGAGTGCTCACTTTTGTCTTTCCCTTCTCGGCTAAACTGTGGTGACAGGAGCAGTGAACTTGGAAATCCAGAGGAACATCTTTTGGACATACCAGAACCTGCAGGGGCCATGCAGAATGTTAGTGCGAAAGCCAGCATTTCCACCCTCAGGGCTGACAGGGCTGTTCAGGGAGGGCTGCTTACAATGGACTTACAATCCACTTGGGTCTGGTCCTTGCACCTGCAGCCTGGAGGTGATGATTGCAAATCTTTCCCACTAAGATGCCTGCTAGTAAAACTTTTATCTTCTTCTTCCTCCTCCCACTCCTCCTCTCCCTCCCTGTCCCCCTCCCTTCCACCCCTCCCTGCTCCTGCTCCTCTTGCTTCTGCTCTTCCCACTGTCTTTCTTCCTCTTCTTTGGAACAAAAACCTTTCTCACTCTAAACATGGGACATGATGAGACCTGTGCTGTGCCTGGCAACCAAGGGTGTAGGTTTGGGAGACGAAGCCCGGAGTACAGACAAGAGCCAACAGAGTGGGTCTGAATAACACCTCAGTCAGTCACCAGCTATGTGGCCTGGGACAAACTTCATATGTCTTCTTATTATTAAATAGGGATTAAAATAATGAATTAGAGAGAACAAATACCAGACCCTTACTGCATATATAATAATGGATAGTGTAATAATTTCTTCTTCTCATTTGATGTTTAACATTCTGGGCATTCTCAGTGAGGATGCTCTTCTCACAAAGTCACCTGGTGAAATGGGTTTTAGGAGAAAAAAGGCTGAACTTATAGCAAATTGTTTATATCTTTGACCTTGACCTTATGAGCAGGGTCTTATATTTACTTGGCTTCATGTCTTTCCTCCCACCATGCTGGGAGCTCCTTCAAGACACTATCTCCATTCCCAGCATAGAGTTGGCTTCTTCTAACTTTGATGCCTTATTTTGAGATCCAAATAAACCGGTGTCTGCAGAACTTCTGGGATTTTCAATTCCCAGACTGGTTTGAAGAGTGACTTTAAGCAACACCTTCAATAACACATCCAATCCTCTGAAAGCCATCTCATTATCATGTAAATCATTAGCACAAAATACTTCTTGTTGCTTTGCTAAGAGCTTTGGTTTCTAATCCAAGCCAATTACATGTGCCAACATATTCAATAACGTCTTAATAATGCCAGTCCTTCCAGTTCTCTGGATGAAATCGGACCAGGTGGAGAGATCTGGGGGTCAACAAGATACTGAAAGGGGAAAGATGTGAAGCCTCAAAGCTGGACCCAAACCCTCTCTTGTGCAGTTGGGACAGGCAGGACAGTGCCTGGGGTCAGGATAAGTGTCTAGTAAAGGTTAATTCCCTACTTTCTCTCTGACTCCAGAAAAAAGCAAAGCTATAGAACTTGTTGTAAGTAAACAAAAGAAGATCCACCACATTCCTGAGTTCATTTACAATATGGATATTTTCTTATGCCTTTGTCCCTAAGGACTGAAGGAAGCAGGTTATTTCATTTTAATTATGGCAGCTGCAGCAGCTGCTGCTGCCTGTGGACTCCAAGACCAATTTTCAGAGTAAAGAGAAAAACACATACAAACACCCCACCACCCCACCCTCCGCCACAAACTCACCAAGGGACTCAATCACAGACACAGAATACACAGAATGGCACCTCCTTCAGAAAGAATGTCAACGGGGTGGAAAATTCTATAAAGCCATGCTCAAGACAGATTCAGGTTGAAATCCCAGTGTGTTCGCCCCTCCCCCTCCCCTCCCCTTCCACCTCGCCTTCTCTCTGCCCTGAACTTGGACAACCAGCTCATGAGCCACATGGCATAATGGAATTTTTTGTGTAGAGCAGCTGAACATTTTTAATGCACACAGAGGGAAATAAAGTCAGCAGATGCCTTTTTGCAACCTTCCTGTGAATTTTTAATTGGGCATCCTCATTCACAAAGGCATGAAAAAAGTTGATCCACAGGTCCTCAAAGGGTCAACCCAGCCAGCTCAGGACATGGCATGGTGAGGATATGTCTGCTCTGCTGGTGCAGGAAAGCTGGGTAGACGTCGCTGGCTGTTTTCTGATCTATCTGGGGAGTGTGGCCAGGTTTCTACTTGATATTCTCTCTCTTTTTCCTCTGATACACTCAAGTGGTTCTCAGTGTCAGCCATGGCAAGCTATGGCTCATGAATCCTCCAAGGGTTTGCTGCCAAAATCTGAACCATGTGTAGGCTCATCTTTGAAACAACTGAGGATTAGTGCTATTGCAGGGACGTCTGTCAGAGAGAAGGTCAAGTGGAGCAGGTGGGGAGGTGCTTCAGCACACTGCCTGGGGGTATGAGAAAAGGCCCTGGGCTCTCACTAGAGATGCACAGAATCTCTGCCTGCGTGTATGGCAGGAAGTGTGAGGCAGGGGAATAAAAAAAAATGTACCAGGGATTTAATCCAGGGGTGATTAACCACCAAGCCACATCCCCAGCTCTTTTTATTTTTTATTTTGAGACAGGGTCCCATTAAATTGCTTAGGGTCTCACTAAGTTGCTGAGGCTGGCTTTAAACTTGCAATCCTTCTGCCTCAGCCTCCCCAGTCTCTGGGATTAAAGGTGTGCACCACTGCGCAGGTTCTTAAAGAGCCACAGGTGTTCAAAAGCAACCTAATAAAGTCTGAGGCATCTGTGGAGAGTTTTATCAATTTTTTGAAACTTGCTTTTATTTAACTAATTAAAAATGTTCAAGTAAACTATTAAAAATTCTGGGATTTGAAAGTGCAGGAGAAAATACACAAACCCTGGTTTTCAACCACGAGAGTCCTCCCAGGCTTTTGGGCCTCTACTCAACTGTGTCAGCCTGCTATGACCCTCGCTCCTTCCATGGTCCCCAGACCTTCCTGGCTGCCCTTCAGGAGACAGTGCAGATCCCAGCAGTTCCACCAAGCCATCCATACTTATCACATCTAATTGTACTCTCACGCTAGCCACAGTCTGGCTAATTGTACCACTAGATCCTCCATAACCTGACCAACTAGTGCTCTTTGATTCCCCCTATATATTGTCGGAGTGCCAATGCTATTCCTAAAATGCAGGCTGACCTTGCCATTCCTGACTTGAAGCCCTTATTGCTCCCCCCATTGTCTTTGAGACAAAATCCAAACTCCTCCCTGGAGCAAGAAGTTATCTTCACCAGCCAGCCTGGTTGCCTTTCCAGCCTCACCTCAGACCTCCTATGCTCCAGCCAAACCAGTGTATCTAACACTGTCTTCCTGTTCTCTTTCCTTGGCCTGAGATGCCCTGTATTACCTGCTAGGTTACCTGTGCAGGTCCCCATCTCATTCTGGTGAAGCCCATCCTGTTTCCTGGGAACCCCCCTTTCCCACTTCTCCTATCATGGGGTTGTGAGAGTCATCTATGCTCTTTGTCAAAATTCTGGCTATTTTCTAGGCACACAGTGAGACTGCATGCCCTGATAAGGCCATGTCACTAGTTGCAGCTGGTGAGTGGTAAGCAGATTGTATCAACTCCAGGTGGAAGATTTAATTGCCAGGGAAAGGCCCTCCAGCATTCTCTTTCACACCAGCACAGTGATTGGCACAGTGGTGCCTCAGACTAGTCTCTGGGAAACTTGAAGGAGTAGAGACCCCTCCTCTTCCCACCACCTCTACTGTCCAAACAGGATGTGGACTGTGAGAGAACGAACCCTTTGCTGTTATAGGCCACTGTGATTTGGGGGGTGATTTTACCCAGCATTAATCAGCTGATGCGGCAGGTGCATGGGTTCTATAAGAATTGCCATGCGTTTAAAGAATTCTGTCTCCCTGGCCATCATCAACTGGTTTTTCTGAAAAAGAAGTATGAGTTACTTGTAGTTCTGGGTCCCTTGTTCCCCTTGAGAAGATCAGAATTTGATTAAAAATGGACCTATTAGAATTCTTCCTGGGATTTTTGAAAATAGGAAGCAACAAAGAATGTAGCGTTCAGTAGTGAAAATTGTAAAAGGTAAAAACAGAGCTATTGATGGTCATGTGGGTGTTATGGTCTGAATTGAGTCTTCCAAAACAGATATTTAGAATCTAAATCACCAGTCCCTCAGACAGGGACCTTATTTGGAGATGGGTCTTTATGGAGGTAATCAAGTTAAAATCCAGTATGACTGCTCTCCTGAGAAAAGGGGGAGATTTGGGCAGAGGCAGGTGTGCACCCAGGGAGAACACCATGGGGAGAGATTTAATTCCCAATGAAAGACCCTCCAGCATTCTCTGTTCCTTGCTGTCAACAGCCAAGGAACTTCCAGAGGGTATAAGAGAAGGCTGAAACAGTTCTTCCCAAGCCCCTCTAGGGAGCATGACCCTGCTGACATCTTGAACTTCAACCTTTTGCCTCCAGAAGCAAAGTCTCTGTCAACAAGTCTCTGTCGCTAAAGCCACGGGCTGATGATGTTTTGTTATGGCAGCCCAAGGAAGCTCATACAGGGAGGCAAGCTGGTCTGCAGGGAGAGAACCGAGCATACAGCCCAAGAGAAGCCGACCAGAGCGGCAGAAGGGACAGAGCAAATTTGACAGAACTGAAAGTCCACACACAATTCCACTGCATCTCTGCCTTTTCTCTGACTAGAAGATTCAACTCCAGACAATCCTTCTGTTCTGAGTAGGATGATTTTGGGGTTCTGCCACCTTGAACCAACAATCTTAACTAGCACTGTTGTCAATATTTAATAATCATCATTGCCATCAAGAAAATCAAGAAAAGGAGTAACATGAATGGCTCCCAGTGGGGAGCCATTTATGGCTACATTTATCAGCCTGGGGACCAAGGACCAAGCAAGCCCCCTGGCTCCAATGCTGTCTAAACATGGCCCAGGAAGAGACGGGCCCCTCCTGACTGGCTGCAACAGCCTCCATCCCCAGAGTAATCCTCTGGTGCTTTCTTTAATCCAATAACAGCCAGAATAAAATCTGAAAAGGATTTTCTTCTGCACAGTTATGCCTTTCTTCCCAATCCAAACATAACTGCATGCCTGGCCCCTTGAAATGCTCCAAAACAAAACAAGAAAGCTCAGCCCAAATCCTTTCTCACGTTTTCTGTTGTTTTCTTGGCTGCACAAACTTAGGGGCCTTTGTTTCTTCTGTTCTGCCCTTGGACTTTTCCTTTGCACATTCGCCTCTGTCCAGGGCTCCCACACCAGCAGCAAGGGCTCCCAGCTAGGAGAGGAGGAGAAAGGCCATGTAAGGGGAGGCAGGCTGGAACTGATTAACCACCTCAGACAAGAGCTGAAAGCTCTTGACGCAATTTAGCAGCCCTCTGGCCCTCACAGGCAGAACGTGGCTGGATAGCTGGGTATGGGTTATGAATTTGGTCTTGTAGAGCAGAAGATAATTGCTCGAGGTATAGCTGAGCCTCTGGGGCTGTAAGAATGAGCAGAACCAGTATGCCTGGAAGAGCTTATGAAAGAAAAGAGACACAGCTCTTCTCCAAAGGACTGAGGAGTGCAATTATACATGGAAACAAGATTGTTGACCACAGAATGCTGCAGAGCTTACCACCCCCTCCCCAAAGCCAAAGAGCATCCCGATCACCCCACATTTATTCATCTAGGAGATCACACAAGAACATGATGGCTTTATTAAGTTGCCAAGTGTCTTGATCAGAGAAATTAGAAAAGTGTAGGAGTTTTCTGGAGTGGGTGGGTGGGTGGGTCCACAGAGCCTTTAAAAAAGGCATGTGGGTGCAGGTGAGAAGGGTGACTGGACACTGTGCCAGTCATTTGTCTATTTGTTTCCAGATTCTTTCTCTTATATTACCCTCCTCTGCTCAGCATCCCTTGCTTACTGGATTCTGGGCAGATTTGTCTAATGAGAGACACTGGTAGAAGATTGGAAGTAGAAAGAGAACAGCCAGCTTCTCCATTAGTCTTTTGCCATCTCGGAAAATGTGCTCGTTAGCAGTCCTATGATCTCTGCTGTTTCAGGTCCTGACAGTCACCCTACAAGACGGTTCTAGTTTCTGTGGATTGTCCCAGTTTCTGAAATCTGAAAGTACTCCCTCCTCTCATTGTCCCTCCAGCCCAGAAGTGATAGTGGCTGCCTGCTCCTGCTGATCCCTGGGCTGCTTCAACCTGTACCATGTAGCTTCCTGGATGTATCATCCACTATGTGGTTAGTTTTCTGCATTACATTCTCTTTGTTGAAAGACTTAGAGTGGCTTCTATTCTTCTACCTGGACTTGGGCTGGACTTGGTACTGAGGGAGAATCTTCAGAAAGAACTGCTACTCGCAGTTCCCTGGTATAGTGATTGCCTGGACTCCCAGTGCATGGGCTAGGCCAGGAAGCCCGTAGGAACTGCCAGGAACTCACCATGGCAGAGAAGCCCTGCAGGAAGTAAGTGCTGGGTGGGAAGCAGCCCTGGAGGGAAGAAGGTAAAGACACAGTCAGGTCTTTGCTGTGTTTGTGTGTGTGTGTGCGGGGGGGGGGGGGCTCGAATGTAAATTTCTTGCTATCCATTGATAGTGAACGTGGGAAGAGGCAATCAGTGATGTCAAACAGCTTTGTGGTAAAACTTTGGAATCCTTTGGCAGGTTGGGGCGGGGAGGCCTGCCTTACTACCGGAAAGCCAGGAGCTTAATGGAACTGAGAAAAGAGACCCAGCTCTTTCCCAAAGGACTGTGACCAAGAAAGACACCTTCCAGAAGAGCTGGTGAGACACTGAAGTCTTCTTGGGATGTGGCTTGTTTGGGTCTGGTCTGTGTGGACGCTTACAACTGTGAAGGGTTAGCACTGGCCCTGCCAGGCTCAGAAGGGTGGAGAAGCATTTCTTACTGAGGGAGGATGGTCAAGGATACAAAGAAGAACATTTTAGCAATTACTGAGAGCACATTTTTTTTTTTTGTTAGCAAAAAAAAAGAATTTGAACATTAAAAAAAAAAAGTCTCTATAAACAGAAAGACACAGTCAGGAGGGAAAAAGAAAATCCACCAGAAAGGAAGGGACAAAGACTTTCGAGCTGTCCACAGGAACGAGCCCCACAGGTGTGGGCCAGTTTCACAGCAGAGGTCAGCTTCCCACAGTCAGGTCAGAGGGCTCCGGGATCCCTGATGCATTTGCTTCCTGCCTCTGCTCAAGCTCTTGTCACAGGTGGCCTTTTATTGACTGACCCAAGCTTCCCGGACCATGTCCCCCATAGGAACGGAAAGGACCACCAGGTGTGCGACAGCAGGGCTGTTAATGAACTGCCACATGCCTCACCTCCCTGGAAACCTCCATTGGCCCAGGCAGGAAGCCCGGGCTGAGGCTCCACCACAGCCTGTCTCTGCCTCAGCATCCCCATCCACCTTCTCAGCCTCCTTTGCCCACCCATGAGGACACCTGTGCCATTTCTACCTTAAAGAGGCTGAAAACCTTGTTGGGGGAGGAATCAAGATGGATGGGGAAGAATTATACCCAGAGCTGGGAGGAGCAAGGAAATTTGGGGTTACAAATGTTTCCCCATTTTATTTTTTCCAATCTTTGTTATGCCCTAGCTTTCACAATTTTTAAAAACCAGTTAAGGATTTACAAAGAAATTAAGGAAGATAGTACAGAAAGCTGCTCTATACCTGGTGTCTAGTTTCCCCATAATAACACCTTGTAATAACATGATTCATTCATTACAATTAATGAATGAGTATTGGTTTCCATTTATTATAAACTAATGTCCTTAGTTGTTTCTGATTTCTTTAGTTTTTGCTTAATGTCTCGTTCTGTCCCAGCATCCCACATGCATACCACATTATATTCAGTCTCATGTGTCCTCGGGTACCTCTTGGCTGTGAATTTCTCATACTTGTTTTTATAATCTTGACAGTTTGGGAGAGTTCTGGAAGGGTTTTGTAAGATGCCCACGACTGGACATCATCTAATATTCTTCTCTCGGTTATGATGAGGGGTGTGTAGGCTTTTGGAAGTGTCCCTTGTGTTTCTAACAATTTCTTGTTCACAGAAGCCATGGCTATGCCTGCTGGGGCCACTGGCTAACAGCTCGGCCAGGCAACCATGGCAGACATGGTCTGTGGTCATAACAGCCTCTCCAGAGTCATCAGTGTTCTCGGCTCTTGCAACACCACAGAGCCCTCATGCCTGGCCACAATGTACCTCTCCAGCATCAAGTCCTGGCTTTACCTCCTCCTTCCTTTTGCCACAACAGATTTGCTTGCAATTTCCCAAACAAGCCCACACCTCTCAGCACTCCAAGCCTAGCTTTTGCTTCTTACTTTGCCCAAAATACTGTTCCTTCCCTTGTCTGCCTGAAACCCTATCAGAAGTCAGGGCCTACTTAGCACAGAACGATTCCCTTTGAGAGCCTCATTGAGCCACCACTCCAAGCAGGATGGACCCCTCATTTCTCTGTGCCACACTGCACATTCCTGCCCACTCCTGACCATTCTCCTCACCACCCCAGGGCTCCAGCATCCCAGCATTCTATGCCGATCCACTTGTTTGGTGTCTATCTCCCTGGCTGAGTGGAAGTGCATAATGGTGGCCTCTTGTGTTCACTGTTACACTAGGTGGTGCTTGGCACAGAGTAGCTCCTCAATTATAAATATTTGTTGAGTGAGTGAACAGCAGTGCTGGAGTGTACTTTTATAGTCACTGAGGTATGTCACTTTCTCTTCAGATAGACTCTAAGCTTCAAGGAAGAGGACAGATTCTGTTGAAGGAAGGAAGGTTTGATGGCCAAGCTGGCATTTAAGTCCTGGCTTGAAGGCCATTTCCAGAAATGCCTGTCATTAGTCTCTGTTCCTTCTTTTAAGACATAACCTCACTCTCTCTGGAGGAGCATCTCCTTGTGGCTGAAGGGACACACATTTCATTCAAGATCTTCTCTAGAAGTTTAGAACTGAAGAGCTCCACAGCAGCAAGGAGGCCCATCTTTTTCAAGAGTGGGGCTTGGGGTGCAAAACACTGCCCCATTCCATTACTGAATGGTCAAGACTGGCCCAGGAATTCATTCGTTAAAGCAGAAGCAATAGCAGCTCTGTTATCCCAGGGCAAGGCTCCAGCCTCTGCCTGTGTCTGGCACGGGGACCATGAACAAGCTCTTGGGCTTCAGTTCCCTTGCCAGAGAGTGGAAATCCTATCGTCACCTACACCATTACCACTGGTGGCTGTGAGCACCCATGTACAAATGGATAGCAAAATGGGGTGCTACAGTAAAGCCAAACCCAGAGCATTCTTGTTCTCATCAGCCACTCACCCCAGTCTCATGTTTTCTGATTCTGTGACATTTGGCCAAGGGTGACACAGGCAGTGTGCAGGGAGATAGGCGCAACCAAGGAGAACTTGAAAAACATGTCACTAGGCCTTTTGATGAAGATCAAAACCACCTGTGTATAGTAAAACACACATAAGCCAATCGTATGTTTATGGTACAGAAGATTTGTCTTCTGGCTGCCGAGCAAGAGCTTGTGGGCTTAGGGCTGCGTTCTGTGGCTGCTTTTACCTTCACGTCTGCTTTTGATACTACCTTCAACCTGCCCAGCTCGTTGGGGAAGAGAAAGAGGTATGTGTTGCCTGGGGAAACTCACTTCCAAACCTTGGCTGGGGTTTTGGCATGCTACTGATACAACTTATCATGAATGAAATTAATTTTATTCTATAATTCTGCAAAACATGAAATAAAGAAAACAAAGTAAAAAGGACATACTTTTTTTTAAAGGACATCAAACTGGATAAATATTTGTAGCATGGAAGATAGGAGAAGGTTATTATCTATCCAGTAATGAACCTATGCAAATGATCAGGAAAAGCATTTAGTAACCTGCCCCCAAATAAATTGGTAAAGGGCAGGGGCCAGTTATACAAGAAGTGTGTTGACTGAATACACACATGGAAAAAAATGTTCAGTTTCTCTAGTAATCAAAGAAATAAAAATTAGAGCAAAAAAAAAAAAAAGCCTTTATGCCTAATTAGTAAGCTTATTCTTTTCTTTTAAATTTAAAAGATTGGAGATGAACTGAAAGGTTACCATCTTTAGAGGCAGTCATTGAAGAGTACTTATTTAGCACCTACTATATACTAGCCACACTGTCAAATATACTGGGTGAATAAACAGACATGATCTCCAGCTGCAGGGCCTTACATTAGGGCACCCACTTTCTAGCTTGGAAAGTTTTTTTAACATCTCTCAGTTTTCTATTTCCTTACCTGTGAAATAGGGATCATGAGA